AGGTTGAGACTATCGAATGTAGTGTGCAATTCATTGATGTTCAGAATATAGAATATGGGAAGATGATTAAGTGATAGACATATGAATAGTGTGAGACAAGTGGAAACAGCATAGAGACAATAGCAGAAGAGGGTAAAGTTACGGGCAAGGAAGAGTTTGGCGTGAAGCTAACTACTGTAGTTAACTTCACGCCAAACTTGAAGCTAACTACTTTAGAAGTGATAGGCCTAACGTTCAATATGTTAGAGTAAGAATAATGGTAAAAAAGGAGATAAAGAAGAAGAATTATTCTATCAATGCATGATTCTAAAGTAATTGAATTAACCTGAGTGCACTTTGACAAAAGGAACAGAGGATATTAAAGAGAAAGAAGACCAAATGATTATGGTAACTTGTGGCACAACTATAAGTGAATCACACACAGAATACTAGTGTGATAGTGATAGAGAAGATAGTTCAGCTTGTCAACTGAAATGCTAAAGTAATTGAAGAGGCCTAAGTGGACATTTGATGAGAAGAAAACTATACATATAGTGTTTATGATATGCCTATAATCTCTATAGTGTGATGAATTCTTTGTACATACATTTAGCTTGTTCTAAATGTATATATTATTTTGAAAACAAGTAAAGTGCATACTGTTTATTTATCATTGAATTTATTGCTAACAAGTCACAGACACCTAATGTAGAAGAATCCTAAGCCCAACAACAATGCAGTATATATTTATACTATTAAGAAGTACAAGTAAAAGCCTTTTATTTTGACACTATGGCAAAAAGAATATTTAAAATTCTGACAATATGTTTGAATAATAAACTTTAATTTTTTCTTTCACCTGATAGGATGGGACAGACAAAATTCCTCACTCATTTTGAAAAACCTAACACCCCAGGTAATAATTTTTTGTATTTTGATAAGGTTTTGTTTTATTAGCTCTTTCCATCTGCCTATATGGGCATTCTTTTCAGCACATATCATGATGTTTTGCTAAGTTACAATTCAAATTTAATTAAAGTATTTTATTATCAGGGTATACAAATAAACTTGGCATCAAAACATAGTTAATAATTTTAAATTATAATATATGTTTTAAGTTAATTTTATAAGGCAGTGTTTAAAAAAATGATCAGTTTACCTTAATATGAGAAGTGTAACATTTGCTCTCTAAGTATTCCCTCTTCTCTAATTTATTTACCACCTCTCTGAGAAGTACAAAATTTAACATAAATTACTCGTAGAGAAAATAACAGAAAATATAAAATTTTACTGAAAATAAATGTTTGAAATTTATTTAGGAGGTTTTGGAGATTACTCATGAAGTTTTAAGAAATTTCAGATGAAGATAAGTATTTTTAATCTTAACATTAAAATCATTTTGCACTCAGAGCAGTCAACACTTGGACTCCATATATTCACTAAGCAATTTTTAATGAAAATACATAATTAAAAATTCTGAATTTTTATTTACAAAAGATTTTGTAATGTTTACTAAATGCTTGAAAAACATAAAACAATTATAATACTGAAACTGATTCTCACTGGAATCAAGGTCGGTGTAATCCACTAAATCAGTAATGAACTTTCCAAGTGAAGTAATTTCTGTTGGTGTGAAATGCTGTAGAAATAATTCAGGTATTAAAAGTTTGTATTGTGAAAGCTAATTTGTTGTTTTGATATTAGTGGTGAATATTTCTGGTGCCAAATTTTATTTTATTTTTATATTTTTCAGCTGTGTTACTATGTTTTGTTACTCCTTTTAAAGTATAGAATTATAAATGTCAATGTGTAAATTAAGTTTGCTTTCTTGCTAGATTGATGGTTCAACTCTGAAAACACTGTGTATGCAACATGGTCCTCTTCAACTATTTCATCTGCTTCTGAACCATGGTATAGCTCTGGTACGCTATTCTACTCGGGAAGAAGCAGCAAAGGCTCAGTCAGCTCTAAACAACTGTGTTCTGGGCAACACTACCATACTGGCCGACATCCCAAGTGAGGCTGAAGTGCAGCAGTACTTGCAACTTGCTAGCTCTAGTGGGATGGTATGGGCAAGTAGTCAGCCTTCAGGTACTGTCAGCACTGCCACTCCTGGCTTTCGCAACAGCAGTAGTTCTTACCCTTTCAGTGGAGGTGGAGGTAGTAGCAGGTTAGAGTCTAATGCATGGAATAGCCCAGCTTCTTCCCATCTGTGGGCATTTCCTGGCAGTAATGGCAGCCTATGGAGCACTCCTCCCTTTGTGAGTGATAGAGATCAAAATGCACGTTCCTTGTTGAATTCGTTCTTACCTGGGGATTTGCTGGGTAGCGAGTCCATGTAACTCGCAAGTCTGATCTGGTTTCAGGACCATGAAACGTCCAGTCACAAATTGTTATGGGTGATCTTCCAGTGTAGATGACATATATGTATATGTGTGCCTGTGTGTGTATATATATATATCTTTATCTGTAAAAATATATTAACAGAAATGTTGACATGCATTCATTGTAGATTAGAATTGGTAATGCCAACTATATCTCAGTTTGTGATGCAGATTATTGTGCAAATGTCTAAAATGAACATATGTACCTAAAGGTTATTAATACTGATGTAGTTATAAGTAATTAAGATATTCTCAGGCTTCCCAGAAGCCATATGTTTGTGTGATAATTGAACTGTCAATTATTGGCTAAAGAAAATTATATATAAAAGCTTCTTCCATTGCATTATCTGATCTAGTGATGTGTTGGAACACAAAGTTCATACAAGTGTGTGATATTTTTACAATATTATTTTGACTTGTGTATGTGCATGTTTTTGTTTCTTTGTACTTTGCTTCCACTTCCCCAACTCCTAAATTATGCTCAGCTGTGTTACTAATGGTCTGTTTAGTGTATGTGTAGTATTGAAGCTCAGTCTCCAGTATCTGAAGTGCCAGATATATACAGAAAGCCTTAATTGAATATTATCTGCCATATCACTGGATTATATAATTGGTCATACTGATATTAAACTTTACAATCAGTGTGTACAGTTCAGCAGTGTACTGTTAGCCAAAACAAACCAAATTCTGCAGCTCTCACTAGTGGTTGCTGAATTTAAAAGTTCTGTTGTATTAGTGACTTTCTTGTATGCCAATTTTCATAAACTAGGTTTCATAAAGTCATATAGTAATAGAAATTATTGTAAAATGTATACAGTGATTTCCAGTTGTATCTTGCAGATCTTCAATGAAAAAACAAATATGATTTCTATAGTCAGCTGGTTAAAGAAGTTGAGTTCTAAGCACTGGTTGTGAGTTGGGGTCTCAAGGTGACGAAAGTTAAACCTTGTTATGCTAATGAAAAAAAATACAGTATGGTAAGAAATATAATATTTTCATTTTACTCTATTACTTGATTAAAAACATTTACTTGAAACTATTGTAGACAGTCACCTGATCATGCTTTTGGTCAACTAAAAGTTCTGTTCTGTAGCTGTGCAGTCATCTCTTGACTGATGATGATGATGATGAAACTGAAAATGAATTTTGTGAAGTATTATGTTAAATGATTGGAGTTAATAATACCTCGTTATGTAGCTTGTATCTATTAAATGATTAATATTTTGGTTGGAAGAGTAAATGAGCAATGAGTGGAAGTTTAGAATATTGAAAAATAAAGATGTGACAAATCTTTGGTAACGTAGAGAAGCAACATGGAACATTTCACCAGTCGTTACTGAGTGATGCTATCATGAATAATTGGCGATTTAGATGTTACTGGAGTGTCCTCAAGATAGATGGGTTAGATTTTATTGCCTTCAATTGCTAGCCCTGTTTTTTTTTTAGCACTGTTGCTTGCCAAGTTACCAAGATCAAATTTCTATCACACTTTAGCAAAATTTTATAAAAATAGAAAACTGTTACTGTGCAGTTTAATAGTGCTATAAGAGTATTTTATACAGTCTATAGTAAGTGTATTTTCAAAGTTCCTTTTATTTTTTACCCATAACATTTTTGAGGCAGCTTTGTTCCCACAGGATTTTAATACGAGATAAGGCCTTAACACCTGTGACATAACACAAAACACAATATATCCTCTGGTACAAATTATATTTGCGTAATGAGATTGCATAGGTTGTTTTGGTTTTGTTTTATTGTTCATCCATATATGTAAACTATTACCTTTGCATTCCACAATTTTACTATAGACTGAATTGTTAGTTTGATGTTGCAATGTGTTATTACAAGGCTCAGATTCATTGCTTATTTAAAGAATATAGATTATATAAAAAATTTTGTTCCTGTAACTACAAAATATATTTATAAGTATACTGTGTAGTGTCTTTGTTTCTCAAGCTGAGAAATTTGGTAGATTTCTGGTATTTATTTTTGTGTATTAAATTGTGTACAGATAGTATCTGCGTGTGTATGGATATGTCATTTTCTGTTGACCTTGTATTATAATGATCTATGCACCTCAGTGGACCACTTAGGCAGGAGGCACATAGTTAATGTATTATTTTCAGGAAGTACTAAAGTAGAAACAAACACTGCTTTTTTCTGAATGTAATTAGAATAATAATATTGCTTGTTCATTGATACATATGAAAAATAATTACACAAGTATTTATACTTAGTAACTGTTTTGTGAAACAGATAGTTTTCAAATAGTGTTTACAGGCAAGAGCTGACAGTTTTTTTTTCTTTTTGTTGTTCTTTTTTCCAACTTCTATCTTCCAAAAATGTGCTACTGATATATTGATGATTGATAGTTAAAAAACATCAGATTTACTTAAAATATTACAAGTTGGGATTAAATATTACTAAAGTTCCAAATATAACTGTGTGGAGAAGTAACTCTTATCTGATCTTAACTTGGTGCATTTTAATGCTGGAAGCTCAGAACACTCACTTCCATGCCTTATTATTATAACTTGTCTACCATAAGACAGCATCAAGGTGTCACTTTGTAGTTTGGGGTTTGAGCCTGACCGTCCAGTCTTCTTTTATATCTTAGAAGGTTCTTGTGTCTTCACTCAATCAATCGGAAAGTAGGACAAAAGTTTATCTTCTAAATACCATGCAGTCGGGTTCTCATGTAAGAATACATGGTGCTAGTTCATCCATTATGATTGTGTAGAGGAAAGTGGCTCCTCTTAATGTTCCTGTATGTTTCTGAACTCTTTGGTTCTCTGAAATAACTTGTCAAAAAGGAATTTATGTTACTCATTACAGTACTGCCATTAGTGACAGTTTGTGCTTGAAAATATATTGGATGTCTTGCTTTATCTGTTTCTGTGGTATATCAGCAAATAGCTTACCACAAATATATATATGTATATTGTACAAATGTAGTAAAAACCTTTGAGCAAATGATAAATGTTATGATGTTGTACAACTTCTCTTGATCAGTAGGAAATACAAACTAAATAATGAAGTTTGTTTCTCTTAGCTTACATTGACACAGATTAGCTCCATAATAAGTTGAGGGTTTATTTAGTTTTTTGTTCAAGTTAGTGAACCATGTATTTGATCCTGGGATTGTATAACTGGACATATTCTGGTCTTGATTATCGGGGCAGTGACAACTGCTGTTTAGGTCTGTGTTCAGAGTAAAACCTATTTTACTGGTGTAATTCTTACAAGCTCTGTGCCAAGAGTGGAGCTGTCTTCACTCAACTTCTAATAAGTTCCACATGGTTGAAGTATAGAACAGTGAGTTATTCTTGTGTTATATAGTCAAAATTTGTAATGTCAATTCACAAGTTATTTCTAGATTAAAAATATAATGTTATATTTTAGATGGTAGATTTTTCATGTTTGGTGATAGTTTCTCAATATTTTCAATGTCTAAAGTTAAGGATAGTGTTTCGTAGAAGGGTTTTAGAATTAGACCAATATACATACATACATACTCTTGGTGTTTGTTTGTGTGAAACATAATACACTTCCTTGCATTCTGAGAAAATGTAAGTCTTCAAATTCTCTAGCTATCCAGCCACTAGTTACTCATAAAACTGGTGGACCAAACTTATAATAAAGTTGATGTATAAAAAAGTAATTCTAAAATTAGTGTACTGGAAGTTCCGACTGCTGTGAAAAAAGTAATCTCAGTTGTGTTTAAATGCTCTCTTCAATTAATTGGAATGTTAATCATTATTGTTGTGGTTGTGGTGTAAGATACAGAAACGTTTTGTTAAAGTATACAAGTTTAATTCTAAATTAATATGCCTAAACAATTAAAACTCAAACAAGTTGCTATTAACAAGCTTCCTTTTTAGTATTATATGGAAGTCATGCTTTTCAAAGTTATAATATACAAAAACTTGCATTACTTGAAATGTTTTGAAATACCTATGTTATATACATGGAAGCACGTAAAAAGTCTGTAATGTTTCCTATAGGGTAGTGAGATTGTACTTGGATAAAGGAAATCAAAATTAACTAATTCTCTTTGTGATCTTGAATTGAATACTGTCTTGCCAGTCAATCTTAAGTGGATGGTTTTGTAGATATTTACAAGCTATAGCATATATATATTTGTAGGATTTTTCTTATGTTATTATTTACGTAAATTCATAGAAAATTATTCTGTTTGAATTAACTTTTTATTTTCAAAACTAATGGTAGTACACTAGTTTTATTACTTTGATTTTGATGAAAAAAATTGTTCATAGTGATTTTCAGTGACATTTTTTTTTTAGCATTTTGTTATTTTCATAAAATCATCACAGAATGTAAGTGCTTCAAAATAAAAGTGTTTGAAATTTTTTCATTTATTATTAAGTTTATATATATTTTAAAGTGTAGTTTTTGAAAATGAAATACTTTGCTTTAGTGTTTGTGTTGTTTTGTTTTTGTTTTTTTGAAATGCGAAAATGTATTTAAGAGTTTAAATATATGTGCTAGTCTTAAGGTTCAAATTAAGACTAGTTCATCTGGTGAAACAAATCTTGTTATATCTGTCTTGTTACTAGTCTTGTACAATTTGTAATGTTATTGTTAGCAAAATGGAGTCACCAAGAAGTTGCCTTTCATAGTTATTTTAGGGTGGCCTCTAATGCAGAAAAGGTATTAAAAAGCTGTTAGAGTGACAGGTTAAAATTAATAAATATAAACGAGTTTTATATGAAGACAGGCAAGTGTTGAGTTCTAAACAGAAAGGAAAACATCGGAGTTAGGTAAGATATAAATATCTAGAAAGGTGACTTGTACAGAATAAGCCTAGAAAAGAATGTTTTCAATGATTATTTAAATTAGGAAGCTGTTAATGTGCAAAATATTAGGCTGCACTAAAAAAACTTAAACAATAATATTTATGATAATTTTTGTTTTCAGGTAAAGAAATTATATCAAACCTCATGCTAGTAAATAACTTAAGGAAATCTTTTGTGCACAGATTACCTAAAGTGTAAGAAGTAAGATTACATAAAAGTAACAAAAATTTATCCTTTCTTTACCAACAAGTCATTGCGTTAAAAATGATTTGATAATCATTTTCTAAATGTTGGGTATCAATTGTGTACTTATAATAAGTGAAGTTACTACTCCAACATTTATCACAGGTCTTTATTTTTTAAGAAAAGTAATCACCATAATTTTCTTTTCATGTATGATATTGTTTTCCCATTTATATTGTTTAAAACAATTGTGTTGTAAATGTATTTTTATATATCTACAGCCTTAAGGTAGGCAGTTAAACTGCTACTATTTGAATAATTAAAGAACTAAATATCCATGACTTTTCTTGAACTGCTTTTACTAAGGCTGCATGTATTTCATTAAAAAAAAGGTTGTATAATATTGTAGAACTTCTATTAACTTCTGTATATTTCATGTCTTCTGATTTTTCAATTATATCGATAAATCTTTATCAACAACTGTTCCTTCGTCTGTTATGTTGATGGGTTTTGTTTTTCTGATTTGTAAACATTAGTTATTATATTACACTACTCACAAGAATGTCTCCCAACGTTTAATCAGAATCAAATATTTCCACGGAATTTTTAAGGTATTGTTCTGATGTGTGTTTGTTTTTGTTTCATAAATTATACGATTCTTTAAAAAAGGCATTAAAATGTATTTATATGGAAATATTGTGATAGAATTTTTCTCTTCATCGTTTTAAATGACAAGTTTTATATAAAATGGAAGCTTTAATTTCAGTCATCAGTTTGGTGTTATATACGATTTGTGACAAAATTAACTTGTTACTTTAATAATGAAGCATATAGTGTTTAACAAAATGTTTCGATTTTATTTAGTCAAAAAGTAAGTTAATAAACTTTAAATAACGCATGACTCACTTTTTTTCAGGAATAAATTGCACCATGCTTTATTAGTATTAATTTGACTAGATCACACATTTCGTTAGTTTTTAGTCTCTATTTCTGTTGAAGTTTAACTTGTTTTTGTATTCACCTGTAAGTATACTTAACTAGAAATCTCTTTCCTTAAACAGGTATTAATATTTGTTTAATATTACTGAATAAAAATTAAACGTTTCCTGTTGTTTAACCCATTATACTTGTCGTAACGTTTGTGTTGTCATAAAGATATTTAATTTTTCTAAAGATAATGTATCATGTTCTTTCTTGTTGTCGGACTATACCTTTTATTTACGTTAAAAGTTATGTTAAGTTTTCAGTCAGAGATTTTATTTTAACCAATTATGGAGTGTTATAGAATTAATAAGTTGAATATTTTAAGGACAACAAAAGCTAGTGTGTGTGTGTGAAACAAAAAAGAGAGAAAGAAATGTATACCTGACAATCATGTTTTCTGTCAAACCGAAACGTGTTCTGTGGTTATGAAAACTGTCAACAATAAGTTAAAATGTGCGTGTAACTTCTGGCTGTGAAAACATGCCTTGAAGTTCATTCCTTTTTCAATCTAGCGCCCAGTCGATAACGAGCAAGTCGTTTTAGATAGTATTAGTTAGGTTGCGCTAATGTAATTTGGGTTTATGAATTCGGACAGTTTAATGTTATTTGAAGTGATTGCTAGTAAAATTTGCAAGTGACTTGTGGTTATGAAAGCAGTTGAGAAGACTAGTGGTAATTTATGGATGGCTGTCTCTAGTTAAAAATGTGCCAAAAGTCGTAGCTTGTGATGCGTCATGTTTAACCTTCTGTGTTCCTGGTCTCTGTTTGGTTGAGTACTGAGATTCATATTCTTTCAACACTATGGTATTTTTCCAGAAACAATTAATTTAAATGTAACCGAGTTGATAGCCTAGTTTTGCAGAATATACTATTTCCACGCTATACAGTTCTGAAATTTTGTCCTATCAGTGAATTACTAACATAAAAGTATTTTGAAGATTTTCTGTTTTAATAAAATGGTCTGGTAGTGGTACAAAAACTGACAAAATTCTTTTTTAGTTATGAAAACGAGACTGAAACCTTATTGTCGTGCCTTTTTCAAAACTATATTGCTTTTTTTTTCAAATGCAGTCATTAATCCTGTCTGAAAAAATCGATTTTTTAAAAGCCTCTTTTTTCTTTTTTGGCCAAGATCAGGATTTCGATCATTTGGTCTGAAATGGAATTTATTAGTGGATTTGTTAGGTATTATGTACCTGGTTAGTTAATCTTTTTGGCTTAAATATGTCTGGACGCACCATGATTACATTGCATTTCACACGTAAATTTGTATATGATCTGACAAATTACCATACAGTATTAAAAGTTGAAAATGACTACTTCTTGTTGAACCATTAATGCTAAACCATACAATTAAGTTGCAGTGTTTTTTTATGGCGCAACATTAAGCCAAATAGTGTATTAAATCGACGTGATCATTTACCTTTGTTGCTCAGTGTAATTTTTTTTAAGAACATTTGTAAAAGATTTAATAGTTCTTTAAAAAGTGAGACATTTCTGTAAGCTATTTGTAATTATTTGGTCTGTGTATATATATATATGTGTGTGTGTGTGTGTGTGTGAATCTACATACATATATATATATATATACACACACACATATATACGTAAAAACCAGAAACTAAGCAGACAATCGGTTTGCATAGTACATACATTTAGTACGGGAGAAGTCCTTTACATCAGCTTTATGAGACTGTAGCTTGGTAAGTATGTGCAAGTGAGATGCATGCTTGTGTAATAGGTTAAACACTAAAGTTATATAAATGGAATTGAGTTCACAGAAGGCTTAAATGTGTGTAGAGGGGTATTTTGATCAGTTGGCGGTTTGGTAATCTATCTTGACTTCCTATACTTTACTAATTTAGAGGTCTTGTGAGTAATAATATTCCATGCGAGTCATAGTCAATGTAATAGGAAGGTGATATTTTCCAAATTGAATATATTTTATGAGTTAATCATAGAAAGGTATGTCGCTACATGTCAGGTGACACCGGTACTTGTATTATAATCGTTGTTCGTATTATTTTTTGTTCAACTTCTGTATATTAATAGTATTAAAAAGAGCTATCTCAAATTAGTGAATATATTAGCCCTGGAAGTGTGAAGAAAAGTGTATTTATGTTATGAATAGTACGGGTAGTGGTTATGTCAAAAGCCTTATTTACTTTTTAATTTAACCATTTGGGCTAACGGCAATAAGGTTCCTTGTTATTACAGCAGAAATGTAAGTATGAAACTTCCAGGGCATACTGAAATTGTAGTATGTGCATTCTGATATTGCTGTAAAGGGGCCTTCTGAAGAAGTCTCAAATTTTTATGGCTCGATGTACTTTGCATAGAAACAATTGTATATGAAAGGCTGATTTTGTATAATGCTCCAGCAGTTTGGCATTCAATAAAGTTTGTGTTATCGTAATTTGCCAGGAGTTGTGTAGTTTTGTGTCTTGTATCTATATCTCAATACGGGGGGGTCGTACTTTGTAAGAAGGATAATCCAACTTCATTCCTGCCCTTGTAATTACTTCATCCACCTGAATCGTGCTAAATCTTATCGCTATGATTGTTATGCGCTATTTACCTACATTACATTTTCATTGTAGCAAGTGTTTGCAATGGACGACAAGGTAAATGTTGGACCTTCCACTATACGTGACATCAATTTCTAAGACCATGTTTAAGCAAATATGGGCATAAAAACCAACCGGAGTTCCAGCGGGACTTTTGACAAATGAAATTACTCCAATTCCATTTCTGTTTCGGTTATTTTGTCATGAAAACAGCAGGTGATTCCAAGACGTGGGTGGGAACTTGTGAGCAGAGCATTATTCAACTTCAAATTATTCATCATTATCAAGACACACGGCTGTGTATCGTGCGGCCAAAACAACCTGCGGGACACAGGAGTGATAATTTAGCCATTTTCTTACTTCATATACCAAATATCAAGACGATATCCGAGATATAACAATTTCTTCCTTCGTTTTCTCGCACCGGAAGTACGGAAATTATTTGAAAGAAAAACATGCTTTCATGGATTATTTTTTTTTTTACATGTGGTACACTAGTAGCTCTTTGCAATCTATAGTTACATGTCAAATATGGTCTAAATATAAGCCACGTGCAAAATTATTCAATAAAAAACCGCTCAATTTGACTAAACTTTTTGCGCGCACTTATGCAAAAAACTACGTGATCTGTCGGTCTAAAATCT